AAAAAAAAAAAAAAAGAATCCAAGGAAAGAAATAATTTTAATGATGATTTCAGAGTAGTTTCAGGTCTGCTTATCTTGTCTTTACTTCTTTTTCTAGTCTGTCTTTCTCATTGTTTTTACTTTAGTCCAAATCAGTCTTAGAAAGCTAAGTCATTTTCCACTTCTGTTATCTAGGTTTTTTAAACAATATTCCAAAAAGTTAATTAAATTATGTATTTATAGAATGTGGGCTCTGGCCTTCTCTGGTTTGAGTTAAATGTTTCTTTACTGCAAGAGCAACAGTTTGAATCAGGGACATATTTAAATAGTTTTGAAAGGTGGTCAATTTTTTCTGTGCATTGTTACAGCTGTGTCTAATATTTTTATAGCTAAAAAGCTGTCCCATCTTACATATTCATCAAGATGTCCTGCAGCAAAAGGGAATGAGTCACGGTGGATCCAGTACAAGGGTCACTGTTACACGTCTGATCAGGCATTGCACAGTTTTTCAGAGGCCAAAAAATTGTGTCCAGAACGTGGTGAGTTATAATTTGTTAATTTTCTTAGGACTCTATAATTTAATTCTTAGAAATATTTCTTAAGGATATAATTTGAAGCAATAATTATATTTTTGAAAAATTTTTAAAGCATTTTCCATTTCTAATAGCACTGTAAACTAATTGCCCAGTGGTAGGGAAATGGCGAAGTATCTTATGACATAAGAACTCAATGAAATATTGGAATAGCCATTAAAAATGCCTGTAATCCCAGCACTTTGGGAGGCTGAGGTGGGTGGATCATGAGGTCAAGAAATCGAGACCATCCTGGCCAATATGGTGAAACCCCATATCGACTAAAAATACAAAAATTAGCTGGGCGTGATGGCACGCACCTATAGTCCCAGCTACTCAGGAGGCTGAGGCAGGAGAATCGCTTGAACCTAGGAGATGGGGGTTACAGTGAGCTGAGACTGTGCCACTGCACTGCAGCCTGGGCGATAGAGCAAGACTCCATCTCAAATAATAAATAAAATAATAATAATAAATTTAAAATAATAAAATGAAAGTGGCCAAGTGAACTGTTAAGTAAAAATACTGACAAATGAATTGGTTTTGCCTATAGCTAGATGTGCTTAGAAAAAGGGATTAAGAGGTAAAGTTTTTGTAAAGTTGGCTAAGTAGTAAATAAAATTTAGAGTTGTTCCATTGCTTAGTTATGAATACATAAGCTTAGCCTCACCAGGGTAATGAATCAAAGCAGTATGGTTGTCCAGCCATTCTGCAATAGAACTGACCCACATCCTCTGACCACTATAAAGAACAGGGCTTTTTGTCTTCAGATTTAGCTATTTTAGAACGAATAGCAATGATTGGCTCTCTCCCATGACAAATTTAATCCATAGTCAAACTGTAAAATGACTTCTAGGGAAACTACCTAGAGTACTTCAAAGACCAAAACTTGTTTACCTGCATCCTTGGGTAGCAAATTTGCCAGGTAGATGGATGGCGTTTATCTAATTTATTTTGACAGCTGTTGTGGAGATACTTGACTGATTGAAAAGTCTTCTAGTTGAGAATAAACTACTTCTCTAGTTAGCATAAAGCTGATTGAGAATTTGTTTTCCTTCAACAGATCACTCTGCAACTATCGTTTCCATAAAGGATGAAGATGAGAATAAATTTGTGAGCAGACTGATGAAGGAAAATAATAATATTACCATGAGAGTCTGGCTTGGATTATCTCAACATTCTGTTGGTAAGTGAAATAATTGTATGTGTGCAGAAAGAGTTCTAACTCATCCCAAATAACAAGTCAGCCTTGGTAAAGAATGTTAGGTGGTGGCTAATTTAAATGTCTCTTCTGGATAAATGTGCTAGGTTGGCTGGCTGTTCTGAATGCTTGTAAATTTTGAATGAATCCATGAGTTAACGTGGCAATGATGGAAACCACTAATGACACAGAAAATCATGCCTAATAAAGTGGAATCGTTCTAGAGGCTTATTTTTGAGATCCTTGGATCAACAGCAGGGTATTTTCTTCCCTATGTCTGTGTCTCCACAAGGAACACATGCCTTCCTTCTCTTAGAGTTCTACTGCCTGTCACTGCATGGATTTGCAGCTTATAACTTTGTTATTCAGAAAGGTATCTTCTTGTTATACCCTTCTCTCCAATAATATTTTTACCATCGGTTAAAATTAAGTCTTAAGAGTAGTCTTTAAAAACTGTCTTAGTATTAGGTTGGCGTGAAGGTCATTGCGGGTTTTGCCATTAATTTTAATGGTAAAAATCGCAATGACCTTCACGCCAACCTATAAAATTGCAGAGAATTGATTCAAAGAAAATTTGTGGAAGGACTTTTCAATCAGGAGTAGTAGATACAGGGTTTGGGTGAACTTGAAACGGGTAGAAATAAATTAAGAGTACAAATATGACACAAGAGAAAGTTTTTTACATTTTATACAAAGTCAAATTTTAAATTATTAAAATAAATGTGAATTCTAAAAGGTACTTGGTTAAAAAAATGGGATTCTAAGTTGTCCATCTAAATTAATTCTAAATTGTGTTTACACTGTCACCACAAGGTGGTGCCACTTCAGCTGGAAAGCAAAAATGGAGTCACGGTGGGGGTGTGGGAGAAGGGTGGGGATGGAGGGCCCTGCACCCTTCCTATTCCACCAGCATATCTTTAACCATATAATTTTTTTAAATTAGAGTAGGGGAAGGATATGGGTCCTTAGAAATCTCTGCCTCACAAAATAAATGTGCAGGTATTCTGTACTTTAATCAAAACACCACATTCTCTATCTGTGTTGTCCAATATAACTTTCTACAAAGAAATGTTCGATGTCTGCACCGTCCAACATAGTAGTCACTGACCACATGTGGCTCTTGAGCACTTGAAATGTGACTAGTGCAACTGAAGGACTGATTTTATTTTTTTTATTTTTAACGCATTTTATTTAAAAAGTGGCTATTATATTGGACAACACATTTCTGAGGAGTTACCGGAACCCCAAGCTTGTAACTTACGAGTTTAGTGGCAGTAAACACAGCTATATTTAATTTCTTTCTTCAGACCAGCCTTGGAGTTGGTTAGATGGATCAGAACTGACATTTTTCAAATGGGAAAATAAAAGTAAGAGAGGTGTTGGAAAATGTAGCATGTTGATAGCTTCAAATGAAACTTGGAAAAAAGTCGAATGTGAACATGGCTTTGGAAGAGTTGTCTGCAAAGTGCCTCTGGGTAAGTATGTAGCCTGTCCTTAGGAAACTTTCTGCAGAACAGGTCAGGAATTAAATGTACAATCCAATCATGTACAGAATTTTGTACTTGGTCTTGAAGTATTTAGTCCTTAAAGTACATCCAAATATCTTGATTGAGTCATAGAGATTTTCCCCTGAAAAATAGATTACAAGGGACAATAAACGCACATGATGTCTAAGTCTCCAGTCTATACATAATTCTCTCCTAAGAAAAACAGAAGTTGCCAGAGCATTAGGGAAGTCATTTTTTAAAAGATTTTCTTGAGATGTATTTTATTCTATAGTTTGATTATATAAAAGCTTAAAGGTCTATTTCTGCAGTTAATTTGCTTCCTTTCTTCCTAATCCCATAAAACTCATGGTTAATTTTAAAACAATGCAAACTAGATTTCATTACTGAAAACATTCAGAGTGTCTATAAAAAATTATAACTTGAACTTACATTTCATTATGAATTGATACATAAAATTACCATAAAAATAATATATTAACTTCATTTCTGGAGAAAGAGCTCCAAAATTTTCACAGTAACATTTTTAAAGATCTTGCATAAAAATTTTGCTTCTGGTATGTAAATACTAAAGATAAAATCTCAATTCTACATAATGAGTATCCATGTGTACATACACTGAGTCAGTAAATAGAGTGTCTACAATATGACATGCCCTGTTCTGCACACCAGGATGCACCTGAAAACAAGACAGATAAGGTACCTGTTCTCACACAGGTTACCATCTGGTAAAGAAAGTCAGATAAGTAAACAGGTCGATTTTTTAAAGAGAGAAAAATACCAAATAGTTATGAACTGTATGTGACGGAGATTAGGTAGATAGCTACGGTAGATTAGGATACCAGGGAAGACTCCTAGGAGCAGAAGACACTGAAGCTGAGATCTAAAAAATCAAGCCAAGCAAATATCAAGGGAAAGGGCATAACAGACAGAGGTACCAATTGGAGCAAAGAACCTAAGGCAGAATGAGTTTGCTGAGCACTCAGGGAAGAATGAAAGGTAGGCAGGTGCCAGACATACAGAGCTTTGGAAGCAAGGCTTGAGTTCTGGTTTTATTCTGAGTGGAATGGAAAGCAACTGGAAGGTTTGGGGGGTTAGGTGGGAGCAAAGTTAGGGTGTTGTAAATCAAGAGTTCTAGGTTGGCCATTTTGAGTTATCCATAGAGAGATGAGATGTGTAGTGTGCATAGCAAAGGTATTTAAAGTCATGGGACAGAAAGAATCCATCTGGGCAGCATGCAGAGAAGAGTCCTGGAACAGCAGCTGCACTGAGTGAAGTCATCTTAGAGGCTTAAATCGTTTTGAAGCAAGTAATACTTTATTTGGCCCCAGGTAAGTCAAACACAAAAATTTAGGCCGGGCGTGGTGGCTCACACCTGTAATCCCAGCACTTTGGGAGGCTGAGGCGGGAGGATCACCTCAGGTCAGGAGTTCAAGACCAGCCTGGCCAACATGGTGAACCCCGTCTCTACTAAAGATAAAAAAGATTAGCCAGGTGTGATGGCACATGCCTGGAATCCCAGCAACTCGGTAGGCTGAGGAAGGAGAATCACTTGAACCTGGGAGGTGGAGGTTGCAATGAGCCAAGATTGCACCACTGCACTCCAGCCTGGGCGACAGAGTGGGACTCCCTCTAAAAAAAAAAAAAAAAAAATGTTTTTAGCTTTTAGCAATTTGCTATCAAAGTAGGATAATATACAGTTAGTGATATTCCCAAATTGGTGTTAGGAAGGGAATGTGAGAACAATCATAGTGCATTAATGTCTTTGGAAGAAAATTCCCATAGCAATGAAGAAGATTTGAATGAAAAGGAAAACATTTAAATTTGAAAAGAAAGCACTTAAGTGTTTCTTTTGATCTAATGATGAGTTTGAATTCTATGTTAGTGCTATGAAACAATTATATTTATTATGTCTGTACACAGCTTACAGGTTTATGTGTGTGTCTGTTCACAGCTTACACGTTTACATCTGTGACATAAGCCATAATGTATAAAATCAATAGTGATCACTTTTGTATTCTTTCCTCCAACATCAAATCTTTTCCTATTCCAGGCCCTGATTACACAGCAATAGCTATCTCAATTGCCACACTAAGTATCTTAATTCTTGTTGGTGGACTGATTTGGTTCCTCTTCCAAAGGCACCGTTTGCACCTGGCGGGCTTCTCATCAGTTCGATATGCACAAGGAGTGAATGAAGATGAGATTATGCTTCCTTCTTTCCAAGGAAAGAATTTAGAAGACTAAATTATTCTAAAAGTTTGCTAATTTGCACTAATGTGTTAAGAAAAATTAGTCACTTAAAATGTGCCCAGTGTCAGTATTTACTCTGCTCCAAAGTAGAACTCTTAAGTACTTTTTCATTTGTTTAGATCTTAAGCATGTGCTGGTATGCACAGTTAATTGCCTGCTAAATGTCATGTTTATCATCCTAATTAACAGAATGGAGAGGACTCCAAAGCTGGACTGAAGTCCAAATTGTTTGTAAAGTAGTATGTTTAATGTGCATTTTCTCTCTTTTAATGTGTTTGGTAACTAGGATATGTATATTTTAATAGAATTTTTAACAAAACTTCTCAGAAAATTAAAATAGGCATATTACTAGGTGACACACCTACTTTTTAATTTTTAAGAGCATCTGGCCAAATGCAAAATTAGTACCTCAAAGTAAAAATCTAACTGTAAATTGCATCAACATTGTTTCAAAATAGTCATTTTTAGCATTGGGGGAAAAATAATAAGACATGCTTACTTTTTTATTTTTATTTTTTTGAGATTTGAGTCTCTCAAATCTCAGACTGGAGTGCAATGGCATAATCTTGGCTAACTGCAATCTCCGCCTCCTGGGTACAAGCACTTCTCCTGCCTCAGCCTCCTGAGTAGCTGGGATTACAGGCGTCCATTTTGGCCAAGCTGGTCTTGAACTCCTGACCTCAGGTGATCTGCCTGCCTTGGCCTCCTAAAGAGCTGGGATTACAGGCATGAGCCACCGCGCTTGGCCTCTGCTTACTTTTTATACAGCAAAATGATTCCTTTTGGCAAAATGCTTCTTATATTATTCCAAAGTTATTTCATACCAATATTATGTAAATATGAAGAGTTTTTTTTCTGTTTATAATTGTTCATAAAACAATGACTTTTAAAGATTTAGTACTTAACATTTTCTGAAGTTTGGGAACATTATTTTTAGATTGAGTAGCTACCCTGTAGCAGTGTGCTTTGTATTTTCTGATGTATTACATCTGACTGTTTCTTTTGTAAAGGGAATCAACTAGGTATAAGACTGACAATTTTATAATTTATGTACTTCACATAGCATGTCAACTTTTGACTAAGAATTTTGTTTTACTTTTTCACATGTTGTAAACAGAGGAAGGGTCCATGAAGGAAAGTATATGAGTTACATTTGTAAAAATGAGAATTTTTCAATGAAACTCTAAACCTTGTGATGACTACTAAAAGATTTAAAATTATGAGTGATTCAGAAAACATTGCTTTGTGGTTATCACTTCAAGTTTTGACACCTAGATTATATTCTTAGTGATAGCATCCACTGGAAAAGGTGAATATTTTATTCAGCATTTAACTTACATTTGTACTTTAGAGTATTTTTGTATAAAATCCATAGATTTATTTTTACGTTTAGAACATTTACACTATGATAAAGTTGTAAATAATTTTCTAAGACAGCTTTTAATATAGTCTACCATTGTCCTGATTTCTTACTGAATTTGTTAAACTAGTTTTCTTGTCCTATGATCTGTATACAATTTTAGTCATTAAATTTTCTTCAAAGAACTAAGCCAACTTGATGTGAAAAGCACAGCTGTATATAATGGTGATGTCATAATAAAGTTGCTTTATCTTTTAAGTGAAAGTGCTGGAATTGATCCTTATTGAAAAAACATCTCTAGATTGGGTTTTTTATGTTAGGCATATAGTACAACAAGAAATAAATTGTCCACCTATTGTAAATCGAGGAATTCGCTCAGAGATTTTGTGTGAACATTTTTTGAGATGGAGTTTTGTCCTGTCACCCAGGCTGAAGTGCAGTGGTGTGATCTCAGCTCACTGAAACCTCCACCTCCTGGGTTCAAGTGATTCTCTTGCCTCAGCCTCCCAAGTAGCTGGGACTATAGGGGCATGCCACCATGCCCAGCTAATTTTTTAGTAGAGACAGGGTTTCACCATGTTGGCCAGGATGGTCTCGATGCTTGATCTTGTGTTCCGCCCACCTTGGTGTCCCAAATTGCTGGGATTATAGGCATGAGCCACCGCACCAGGCCTTTGTGTGCATTTTTTAGAGAATAAATAGGCTGAGCATTGTGGCTCACACCTATAATCCCTCTTGGCACTTTGGGAGGCCAAGGCAGGGGAATCATTTGAGCCCAGGAATTCAAGTTCAGCCTGGGCAACAAAGCAAGACCCCATTTCTACAAAAAATAAAATAATCAGCCAGGTGTGATGGCACCCATGTGTAGTGCCAGCTACTCAAGAAGCCAAGGCAGGAAGATCCGATGAGCCCAGGAGTTTGAGGCTACAGTGAGTTACGATCATGCCACTTAACTCCAGTCTGGGTGACAGAGCAAGACCCTATTTTGAAAAACAAGTCAATATTGATCCAATTGCTGAATACTGGAGAGGTAAAGTCAAATAAAACTGGATTCTAGGAATTGGGAAACCAATGACCATCTTAGCCAACAGAAATGTAGCAGAGTGGCGAAGCCAGAATCCAGATGCGAGTGAGTTTAAAAGTGAAAGAGAAGGCCAGGCACGACGGCTCATGCCTGTAATCCCAGCACTTTGGGAGGCTGAGGTGGGTGGGTCACTTGAGGTCAGGAGTTTGAGAGCAGCCTGGCCAACATGGTGAAACACCATCTCTACTAAAAATACAAAAAAATTAGCCAGATATCATGGCATATGCCTGTAATCCCAGCTACTCAGGAGGCT